GCTCCCAGTAGAAACATCCTGAACTATGAACACTGAAGGAATCCTAACCGCGAGAAGCTGACTGCAATGATAGCAATGGTGGTGAAGACTCATGAACCCACGCTACTACAACTTTTTAAAAATTACTATATAATAGCAAAGGAGTGCAAAGGGTTAAAATGTAGGAGAGAAAGTTTGATTATAGTTTCATATTGATATCCCTAATAATAGGGTTAATTACTGTCTGAAAGTAATTGGAGTATTTGTTTGTTATTTTAGAGCAACTTTATAATACACAAAAGACAAGAAGAAAAACAATAACAGAGTATGAGCTCACCGTGCGAACATGACCGCACATCATCAGGCCTACGTTCTTGGTGAAGCTGTGAACCAGGTCCAGGAGAGCCGGACGAGAGTTGGGGTACCCAGTCATCACCAAACACTGGGGTCTACAGTCAAACACATCATACAGGAAACATCAGCATTAGTGTCAGGTTTTACTTTTAAATCTTTATCCACTTTTTCTTCTGACCTTTTCTTCTGGCCACAAGTCTTCTTAGCACAGGACAAAAAAAAAAAAAAGCAGGAGCTGAGTAGCGCACATCAAAGCAAATATGTTAAGCACCATGGGATTTAATGGAGGCGGTGAGAAGAGACAAGAGGGAGCTCAGAGGAACACACGAGTCATTCTGAAGACACCATGAGATGCCTTTTAATCTCCTGCTCGGTTTGCTGCCATGGGAACAGTCCAAAGGCACATTATCACTAATATGTTGTCAAAAACACCACCGTGTCATGTGCAAGCATTTAGAGAATGAAATGGAACATGGTGGATACATTTATAAAAGTACATGCTTTTGGTGCCATTGCAGCATTTTCCGTTCAGGTTAAGGTTATTGAATAAGACTATCTTAGAGTTTTAATGTATTGGATTTTTTATTCCCTATTGAATGACCACCTATAATTCATGTGCGTTAAAGCTGCAGTAGGTAACTTTTAGAAAAATAACTTTGTCATATTTACTGAAACTGTCAGTATATCCTGACAGTAGTACATGAGACAGATAATGTGTGCTCCTGATAGCATTCACAAGAATCCACTGGGCCAAAAGAAAACAACCAATCAGAGTCGAGAAAGACAGAAAGACGCTTTGGGTTGGTGGGTTAAAGATAGTTGATTGTTAAGTCTCATTCCCAGTTCTCATATTTTACGACAAATACAGACTAATGTTTTACTGTATATGATAAAACATTTGCCTGCAGGGTTCCAACTCTGAAATGGCTGGATTCTTTCATAAAAACACTGCCTGCTGCAGTATTAATGACAGTATCACTACATGCATGTTTAGTTAGTTAGTTAGTAGGGGAGCTTCTCTGTGTGTGGTACCTGAAGTTCTTGACATGATCCTCCACGCCGCTGAGGTGCAGAGTGTGGGTCAGGGCCTGGTGGTAGGTCAGAGCCTGGGTTGATGAGCCCCAGTTCACATCTGGAGGTGGAGGATGCATGCAGGCAGAAACGCACAGTGTGGTTAGGGAGTGTGTTTACGGGTCGGGCCTGCTGGGCCAAAGGCCGTCTGACCCATGTGGTGTTACAGGCACTGAGAAAGCCTCGTATGTGTGTGTAGCTGCATGTCAAACTGAGTGTGTGCACACAGGTGTGTGTTGAGAGCTGGAAGGCCAGTCTTTGAAGTGGTGCAAGGAAGTGTGTTTGAGGGTGTAAGTTGACAGATCAGTATTATGTAGCAAGACTTGATGGACGGTGAATGTTTTTTACTTTTGGTGACTGTGGTCTAGCATTTTTGACCCTGCTTCTAGTCTTTTTCCATTTTATTCCATATCAAAAGATGTTAAAGCTCTAGTGTGTAACATTTAGGAGGATCTATTGTCATAATTTTTTATATAATATTCATAGGTATGTTTTCATTAGTGTATAGCGTAAAAGTGTAAATTAAGAATCATTGTGTTTTCGTTCCCTTGGAATGAGCTGTTTTTATCTGGAGGGAGCAGGTCCTCTTCTGGCCACCATTTTTCTACAATAACCAAGAAGGGACAACCAAATACTGTTTCTAGATAGATGTGTCAGTGCGTTTCATGGCCACCATAGTTTCTCTTACACACTTGGAAGGCAAGGGTGAAGCGAGGGAGTTGCAATATGCACTACCACTAGATGCCGCTAAATCCTACACACTGGTCCTTTAAATTATTATATTTTTTTCCTTGAAATGAGTGCAGATTACAGTGAAGGAATGAAATGAAACAGTGGGAAGTTCATCATTTGTCATATTAAAGTCCCTATGTGTATCATGTTTTTGTAGTTCATTGTAGTTTGTACAGTTTGTACAGTTGTCTGAAATAGGAAACTCATTTGCCAAATTTTGCTAAATGAACGGCTAGTGACTCACCTGGCTTCTTGTAGCTGACGTATATAAAAAGCCCCAGGACAATGACGTTGGTGAGCAGTGCAGCCCACCAGTTGATAACAAACATCACCACACAGCACAGTATAGCTCCAGCGAGAGAAACCCACATGTTGTAGTATTTGAAGCTGGGACGCCACCCTGTAGCACAAATGAGAACAAGTCACAATACTGCAACAAAAGGCAAGGGACAACCAACAGCAAACACACTGATAGTGCTAGTCACATACTGTGTGGGTATAAGGTTTTAATTATGGTAAACTGAGGGTATGCATGTTAAGTCCAATAGGTCAAAGACTCCTTAACCG